GTTCCTTGAGATGCCAAACGAGAGCACCCTTCACCACCGCAATGAGAAGACGGTGCACGTCCGGCACGCGGGCTACGAGAAGGAAAGGTTGACGGTCATGCTCGACATCATCGCGGACGGCCGCAAGCTCCCTTCTGTGGTGATCTTCAAGCGCAATACTGTATCGAAGATTCGCGTGCCTGCAGGTGAGTTGCAACCCCCGTTTCCGTCGTTTTAAGCTTCAGTCGATACGGATTTTTAACCACATGTGTTGATGCTTGGCAGGAGTCGTCATCCGTGCCCAGGAGAAGGGGTGGATGCAAAGCTAGTGGACGACTGGGTGAACAAGCTGCTGCTGCCATTCATCAAACCTCCACGTGGCATCCAGCGGTCCAAGACCCTTCTGGTCAGGGCCTATCTTTGGATTTTGACTACTCACGGTTAGCGGTGTAGCCATTTTCAAAACACTATTTAGCAGTGTAGCATTTTTGGAAACACCGATGGATCGGTGCAATCCGAAGTTTCGATTTTTTTACCCAGAGGCATGAATGTAGATTTTTTCAGTACCCTATTCTTGTTCGAGCGCGTCGTGGGGACATGCGGCGTGCAGCCGAACCCACCGACAGAAGGAATCTGGTTTGAGGTTTGGCTACATTCAGACATCAATCCACAAGGTGCGTGAGGGACTCACACACTTGGCGTGCTGGCAAGGGAAACACACATAATTGACCAATCACAATCATGACTGGTGCCAAAGCGGAAACTGTATCTGAGGGAGATTTACGAGAAATCACGCAGGGAGGGGGGGGGGGGGGGGGGGGGGGGGCTTTTGTATGCTCTTCAGGGAAATCTCCACTAAGGAAAAAATTACCCAAGTGCATCAGTGTGGCCTACAAGGTTACACTGAGATATCAGGGCAATTTTAATCCACCCAAAAATTACCCAAACACATCAGTGTCACCCCAAAACTTCACCCTTATCAGCAGTATAGAAGGGTAAATTACACTGATAAAATAGGCCTTGCTTCTGGTCATGGGCTCGTACCGGGGCCACCTCACGTACAGCGTGCTAGCCAACCTGAGGTGGAACCAGATTATCCAGACCATAATCCTCGGGGGGCTGTACCCCACTGCTGCAGCCTCTGGATGTGAATGCCAATCGCTCGTCCAAGGTGCTGCTGCGGTAGCTGTACAACGTTTGGTTCGCCAAATTCGGCGTCCACACCTTCACAAAAGCGGGCGCGTTAGTATGTGGCATTGTCCTCGCATTATAGCGTGTTTGTAGCTCCATGTTGACTACATTTGTGCTCTCTCTCCTCTGTGTTTTCAAGGAAACCTGAAGAAGCCCCTTGCGGAGAAGGTCCCCTAGTGGATTGCCACCGCTTGGGCGGCCGTCCCCGAGCACATCGTTGAGCGGGCGTTCCTCAACACCGGCACCAGCAACTCCGTCGATGAGAGGCAGGATCACCTCATTCTGGCCCACATGCGCGATGCGGGCGATGTTGAAGTGGCTCAAGACTTGCTTGTCACCCCTGAGGTGGAGGAGTGGGTTAACCCCCTGTTCGCCAAACCGCAAAGGAAGAGGATGCGGCTATGGCGGCGGATGCTGAGGACGCCGGGGACCTCCTTGTGGAGGAGGAGGAAGAGGAGGAGGAGGAGGAGGAGGAGGAGGAGGAGGAGGAGGAGGAGGAGGAGGAGGAGGAGGAGGAAGAGGAGGAGGAGGACGAGTTTAGGGTTGATGCTTTCCCATCGGGATATTATTTTTCCTCGCGCATTTTTGCGTGGGATCGACCCTAAACACGGGAACCCGCCTGATGTTTAGGGCTGATTCCTCCCCATGTTTTTTTTTTTTTTTTTTTTTCGTACGCATTTTCGAGTAATATCAACCCTAAACACCTTGCCACATGGTGTTTAGGGTTGATACTTCCCCAATCGGTTTTCGTGACATGTTTCGACCAATCATGTTTCGTCTTCCTAACGAGCGTAATAACTGAACGCTGTTTGATTGGAAATCCACGTAACTATTCCCCAGCAGCGCTAACAGAACCTTCGGAGCGAATTTTGTCCAGTAGTGCTTTTCAATAAACTAAGGGTACATTCCTAGCTCGTGTCTGACATCAGGTCATCCGTCCTTAGAAGCTCGGAAGACCCGAAGTGGTTCAAAATAGGGGCAAATCAACATTGAGAAGAGACAAATCAGAGACTAAGGGCGGATGACCTGATGTCAGACCCGCCATAGGAATGTACCATAAAACCCATTTTTCTCCTCTTCTTAGTGACTGAATCCGTGACCCAACTTACCAAACCCGTCAGGAAACCCGAAACAGTGACCGTACGGGTTACCTTTTAATCTTTTACGTTATCGAGTCCGATGTTGGTTACTAGTGGCATATTTTCCCCTGAAATTTGCATGCTGTGGGGTGGGGTGGGGCCAGGTGAATGCCACGTGGGCGCGTGACACAGATGAAAATCCGAATGCCTCAGGCCAACGCTGTCAGGTCAGGGTTGTGGCGTGGCGGTTGGGACATTTTGCAGCGGCAAGAACGTTGGCCTGAGGCGCTTGGTCTGGGATTCGATTTTTCCAATGATGCCACACCACGCCAATGTGAAGAAACGCACGACGACAAGAAGTCCACCGCAGACAACGTGAATTGCGTGTGCGGCTGCTGTTCTCCAGATTCCAGAAGGATGAAGTTAGGACGTGGTACAGAACGGGTCCAGACCTGGTGCACTGAGGCGCGTGCTGGGGCGCCCCAGCTCGCCCTGTGGCACGCTTCTCTACCCAAGGTCAACTTCAGGTTTCTTCCAAGCACTGGGATCGAGCCTTTGCCCAGCAATGGGCGAAGGCAAGAGGTTGAGATGCAAAATTCGCCCAACGTTGTGTACAGAGTTGACTCACGCCAGCTCGCTCGCAATAGAAAATCTCGCCGTCGATCCCCCCAAGATAATGTCGCAATCGAGCAACACTTTCATCGAGATTCTCGCGCCACAAACTCGGCAAGTAACTAAAGTCCCAAAAGTTCGCAAGATGTTCGCGCGTGCTGGGGCGCCCCAGGACACGCCCCGGGGCGTGCCAGCACGCGTCTGTGCATCGCCTGGTCCCAGCACGCCCGGGGGCGTATGTACCTGGTTCCCGCATGCGTGGAATCTTCGAAACCCTGTGCACCGCGGTTCATCGAGGCTTGCCAAGGCGTTTCGCGCCACGTCCTTATTTCCTTGATCTCTGCTTCCCACAGCATTTCTGTACAGTACTGTCCAGTTCAAGGTCACCTCTGCTGTGCTCCCCTTCAACAAATCCAGCTCTCCGCTGCCTCCTCCAGCTCAGACCCTGCGCGATGGCTGCCCCCCCCGACCCGAACTCGAGGTTAGGGTAACACCGCGGCGGCCGGAACACCATCATTGACCACACAATATCTATGGCAAACATCCTTCTCTGATGACGTCGATGCGTGTACACCAAATACCGCCAAATTCTCTCAATCCATTTTACACATTTTGTCATGACCAGGTGGCTGGGGTCAGGGGTGTTGTGTTATTGGAATTTGCCGACGTGGCTTGGCATGTGCGTGAACCCTAATCTTCATGTGGTGGGTAGAATGAGACTTCCGAAGGCTGAGGTTCGAGTCCAAACCTCAGTGCTGGCGAGCTCTGCCAGCCCCTCAATAGAGGGTTTAGGACTTGTCATATGGGAGTGGATAGTTATGACCTCGATACCCAGCGAGATGTGTAAACAAATGGGTAGGCCGATTACGATTGACAGCCGGGGTAATACCAAAGAAGGTTTCCCCTATAACCTTTACGTTTACCACCCTCTTGTAACACAAAATCTGACATGATTGGCGGGTAAAAAATTTTGTACATCCACATCGATGTGGAGATATTCTTCACCCTTTGAAACGTGACTCAGCAAGCGTGGGGGGCACACACACGGAGTGAAAATGTAGGGAGTTTTTTTCCTCCGTACAATTTCACCCTCGATCTTGTTCGACAAGTCTGCCAAACCATCGGTCAAACGTGAAATTAGCGGCGGTTTGGTGTAGTGTAAACTGGGTTGTGGTTATGGTGGAGGTTCACGACAAGACGATATGCAGGGATATGATTTATCGTAGGCACACCTGGTGTGTGGAGCGGATGGATGTCGTAGGTTCAGCTGGTAAGGTTTGGTAGTCTACCTTGCGTTGCAAAAACGTTTAGCTACTGAACGCTACGGTTCCGTAGGGTTTGAAGCACGTAACACCTCATTCACCTTGATGCTCCTGCTGTGTTCAACTGGTAGGGTTTGGTAGTTACCTTGGGTTCCAAGTGTTTTTGCCGGTGATACTAGAGCAGTTGAGTAGGGTTCGAAGCAATTCTCTGTGTTCCTCCTGGGTTCAGCTGGTAATTCTGGACAGTTTTATAGCATTCAAAAGAGGTTTTGTGGATGAATAAGGCGATTGGGTACGGTTCGAAGCACATATCGATCGTTAATCTCCCTCCGCTGCTAAAACATGGACTCCTCGTGCCATGTCGGGCAAACGGGCTGGGACAGACACCAAACATGCCGCCCACTGTCACATGGGCAGCGGGAAACTGGCAAAGCTTGCCATTGCGGCAGCATTCATGCAGCAAGTACAACGTTTCGAAGTTTGAAGGCAATAAGGCCTGCTCACGACACACCGACGGACGTCCAGCAACTTCGCTTTTACAACTGCGGGAGCTTGCATGATTTGTAAGCCAAGAAAGCATTCATCGTTCATTTGGAAACAAAGTAGGGCTTTCTGGTTTTGATTCCAAGGCATACCCCTATTAGCAGTCCGTCACGTGTGCCATCAACAGCCTGTCGAAATTCCTAATCTCCTGAGGAGATTACAGGCATGGTCGGAGGCATCATGGGCCGCAGCGTGCGTGGCCGTTCGCGGAATCAAGGTGATTCTCACGGAACTGGAACTGACGGCGTGAGCTGTGACTCAGATCGACGTTTTCAACGAGCCAGCTGCACAGCAGGATATTTTTTCGCGTCCATCTTCCGTCAGAGGGGTAACCATGGGTGTAAGGTCGAGAGGGTACAACCCGCTGCTAGAGATTGTTGCGAAAGATTTCGCCCGAGCAGCGGTGATTTGGAATCACCAAGCGGCCATTTATCCGATAGAAGTAGTGCAGCTGCTCCGACGGTTCCGACGTCGACGGAGTCTGAACGTGCTCGGAATGCGGACGGCTTTCAACTGGCGGCGAAAATAGCAGAGGGGGAAAATGCCCCGAAAGCCGCGGCGGCGTGGCATGCGGCGATAACCCGCCGTCGTGCTACATTACTAGGAAGCCACGCCGGCGCGGATCCCCGTCGACGCAGCGGCAGTTTCAAGACGAACAGCATAAATGGTGCAGGGAGCATCGCAAGTAGCTGCGGGAGTAGCTTCGGGAGCAGCAGTATGAGTCGCAGCGGCAGCACACTTACTAGTCGCAGCAGCAGCAGCAGCCTGGCGCGGTCCGACAGCGTGGGGTTCGGGCCGTCTCGGTTCGTGCTGCGGCAGCGGTACGAGGACATCGGGCTGCGGTACCTGGTGCACAAAGAGCAGCTGGGCACGGGCGAGTACGGCGCCGTCCGACCGTGTGTTGAGGCCGACTCTGGGCGGCTGCTGGCGTGCAAGACCATCCGCAAGCAACAGATCACGGTACGTTCCGTCACGCAGCGTTCTTGCCTCCCTCCATGTTCCCCCGTTGTCGTTATTTTGTGATCCGAACCGTTTTTTCGACGACATCGTCGTCCAACCTGTCGTATTTGAAGTAGGTCCTCACCGGTTTGCTTTTGCCATTGATGTGCGGCAGACGTACGAGGACGCTGAGGCGATCCGCACGGAGGTGGCGTGTCTGTGGGAGGTGAGGGGCCATCCTCACATCATCAGCCTGCACGACGCCGTGGAGGACGGCAAGCGCGTGCACCTCGTCATGGAGCTCTGCCACGGCGGCGACCTCTTCCGCCGCGTCACCCAGCGCGGCACGCTCACTGAACGCAGCGCTGCCAGGGTTTGCCACGCACTGGCGACGGCCGTGTTGCACTGCCACCGCCATGGGATCATGCATCGTGACATCAAGCCCAAGAATGTGCTGCTTCTAGACGACTCCAATGAGCCCAACGTCAAACTGAGCGACTTTGGTGTCGCCACTTTCTTCGAAGATGGAGATTCGTTGACCGAGTTCGCAGGAACAACACAATACATCGCCCCGGAAGTGTGGAAGGGGCAATACGGGCCTGAAGCTGACATTTGGGGACTTGGAGCTCTCCTGTATTTCTGCATAGCTGGTGTGTCCCCTTATCGGGGCCCAACAAAGCAACAGGTAGCGGAAGCAGTGCTGACGCAAGGGGTGGATTTCAGCATGGCGTGCTGGAGAAGAGTCACTCCAGAGTGTATAGATCTAATTGGTAGTATGCTCAATAAGGACCCTTATGGTCGGATTACGCTGGTAGAGGTTTTGCAACATCCATGGATCAGGAGACATGCTATTGCATGACAATTCTGTAATGTAACCGTATGTACGGTATGCGCAATTGTAGCAGTTCTGTTCACATTATATATACAAGAGGCACTCCGCTGCACTTTCTGTCTGCCATAACCTTGAGATTGTCCTCCAGCCAGCGCATCGTAGCAAAGCACCTCTGGCACGCTCAGGGCATCCGCCAACCACAGCCACACAGTCCTACCTTCCACATCAAGCTCACAACAGAAAAAAAATGCAAAGCCTAACCGCTCCAGAAAGTCTGTCCAAAACGTGTCATGCTGTTACGCGGGGCTTAGTTTGCGGCTGTGAGTTATCAATGGTTATTCGTGAGACCAGATAACGTGTCATACCGTTCGAAGCACGAAGCGAGCGGTGCATTATGACGGTAACCGACCGTCGGAGTCCGTGCAGGAAGCTGTCTCGCTGCCTGACGGATGACGACACGCCTTCGTCAGACGGCCACGGTCAGGTGGACAACAGCCGGCCGTTAGCGTCGTCGTCAGCCACGCGAGACCCCCTCGAAGGCGGTCAGCGCGCGCAGCCCGTTCGTCAGGATGGCGTTTCGGATTCTGTGAGTGCTTCGCGGGACGTGTCGCGTGCAAACGCCGCCAAGTCAGACGTTCCAGGAGTTGTCCAGCCATCGCGAACATCGCCAGCACTGCACGATAGATCGCAAGGGCCGTCCGCGACACCGTCGCAGCCGAACCAAAGGACTCTGCAATCGCCGACGTTTCGTAAAGAGGAGCCCCGAGGGCTGCAGGGGCAGTGGGATTCCCTAGGCGCGAACGCGACCAACGGAGCATGCGATTCTGTTGATGACGCGGAGCCTTCTAACGCGGAAGCTGCGCGGCGGCTGCGGGAATTGAGACTGCGGGTGGATTCGGAGGGATCGGAGGACGACGCGGACGATCTCCGATCGCGCCGCTCTGAGCGATTAGTTCCAGCCTACTCGAAGCGGCAAGGCCACCATGGCGCACGCAGTATGCGCACAGGTGGGAATCTCAAATGGGGGGAGCATTTATGGCGGGTGAAGCCGCCGCAGGAGACGATGCCGCGGGGGTTCACGTTCAAGGGGTATCTTGGGCAGCCCATGGCGGCGCATGCGGTCGCCGCCCCTTCCGACCCGCCGAGCGAGCGCGAGGCGGCGCAGGCACGGCCGTTCAACGTGCAGGTGCAGGTGTTCCGGCGGGTGCTGCACGTGATGCGGCTGGTGCGCATCCCCGTGATTCACCCCTACTCGCGCTTCCGCCGCGACGTCAACCTGCTCATCGCCCTCTGCATCACCTACAACGTCGTCAGTCCCTCGCCGCCTGCCCCACACTTGCTCTCTGCACTGGGTATCCTGCACGAAGTTTGATTCATTCTGTGTGGATTGGGTTAAGACGTGGGTGTCAGTGTCGCCCCCGTCCCTTCATTCTCTATCCCGCTCCCACTTCTTCCTTCCTGAAACCAACCCCCCCCTCCCCCCCGCCCTTCCCCCCCTCTCCCCTCGCCCCCTTGTTTCTCCCCTCGGTGCATGGGCGCGCGCAGTGGGAGGTGTTTTACCAGGTGGCGTTCAACCTGCGCGCGCAGGGCGCGTGGCAGATCGTGGACGCGTGCCTCTCCGCCATCTTCCTCGCTGACGTCTTCCTCGGCTTCAAAACCGGGTCAGCTGGGGGGGAGGTTGGCTCCACTGCCCCTCTCGCCTTTTCCTCTCTTGCTGGACGCTGCTGGTTTCTTTCCTGTGTTGGCTGCCGTGTTTCGCCACACAACTATTTGTCGTGCACTCATTGAATTGTTATGCCTTGTTGCCACGTCACCACGTGCCACGTGGCGTGTGTGGTGGCAGGTACGTGACGAAGGAGAAGCACGTGGTGATGGACGATGGCATGAAGGTGCTCAAACCACAGCACATCGTCATGGATCAGGTACGCACCAGGTCGGTCACCCATTCGGCCGTTTCACCACATGTCAGCCCAGCAGCAACTCACTGGAATGGGCATCTTGCGCTGCTGCCGTCCTCACTTGCTCATGACTCTCCTCTGAGCGGCATCGTTGCCCCTTCCAGTGCTGCTTCTCTCGTTTCCCCACCCCCCTTCTCTTCCCTCCACGCTCTGACCATCATCTTCCCCTCCCTGCTCTTCCCCTCTCCACCCGCCCCATCTCTCCCTCTCCCAATCCCTTCCTCCCTCCCTATCGCCCCTCCCACGCACAGCGCAAGGTGGTGTGGCACTACCTGCGCACGTGGTTCGCATTGGACCTGCTCTCCTCGCTGCCCTTCGACCTCCTCACCTCGCTCGCCTCCGACTCCCCCGCCGGCTTCTGGATCTCCGTCGTGCGTTCTCCTTGCCGCTCGCTCATGCACGTGTCCATTGCCCGGCCTGCTCCCCTGCCTGCACCACTGCTCGCCCCACTGCTCGCCCCACTGTCTGCCTACAGCCTGCATGCGCTGCACCCATGCCTCTGCTCTGTGCAGTGCATGTGTGCCCTTGCCCATGTGCCCTTGCCCATGTGCCCTTGCCCATGTGCCCTCGCGTGCAGCTCATGTGCTGCCGTTCACCACACTGCCACCCGTGTGCATGTGTGTGTGTGTGTGTGTGTGTGTGTGTGTGTGTGCGTGCGTGCGTGCGTGTGTGCGCAGGCGTTCCGGCTGCTGAAGCTGTTCCGGGTGCACCGGCTGGGCGTGGCAGCGAAGCAGCTGAGGCGGGCATCTGTGAACACCGACTACATGGACGTCGCCATCCTGCTCTTCCAGGTTCTCCGCCGCCCTCTTTCCCTTGCCCCACCCACCTCTCCCTTGCTTTCTAGAGCCCTTCTCGTTAGAAATTAACTAGTAGGGAGAAGTGCTGTGAAGGTGGCAGGGAGCCATTGCCTACCCCCACCAGGGTCACCACGTCTCCTGTGCTGCCCACTCCCTCTGCCTCCCCATCCCTGCTCCGCAGATCTGCATGCTCTGCCACATAGGCGCTTGCATCTTCGTGCTGATTGGCCGGCTAGAATTGCCGGATGAGACATGGCTGGCGGTAACCTATTGGAGCGAGGGTGGCGTGGCGCAGACGCTGGAGTCAGCACCCACTGGCGTGGTCTACGTGGCGGCTATTTATTGGTCCATGGTCACATTCGCTGGGGTGCGTACCCGCAGTATCCTTCCCTGCAGCGCTGTCATGCCAACCCACCTTCACAGCCCTGACTCCCAGCCATGTGTGCCGGACACCACATGCTTTGCATCCCCTGCGCCCTCTTCTCACCTCCCCTTTCCCTTAAGCCAGGTGGGGTACGGGGACATCCACCCAATGAACACGCTAGCAGAGCGCCTGTTCGCCACGGGGTACATCCTGCTGACGGCCATCATGCTGGGCTACACCATCGGCGAGCTCTCCTCCATGGTCTATGCGCGCCGCATGCAGCGCGAATCCATGCGCCAACGCATGACCACCCTGCACAGGTGCTACTTTCCTCCCTGCCATGGCAACCCCATTTCTGCTCCCCGATGCCTGTCCGCTGCTCTCCCACGTCACCCGCCCACCCGCATTTCCCTCCGCTCGCCCCCTGTGTTCCGCATGCGCTGCGTCCCTGGTTCCCCCTGCCTGCCTTGGCCCATGCATGCAGGTTCATTGAGAGGGAGCGCCTGCCAGAGTGGCTCGCCAACCGCATGGTGCGCTCACATGCCCTCCGCCCTCCGCCCCCCCATTCCCACTCCTTCATTCCCACTCCTTCATTCCCACTCCTTCATTCCCACTTCCTCTGCCGCACTTCTCGCCCCTTGCTCCACGTCCTTCGCTCCTTGCCTCTCGCCCCTTGCCCTGCTGCTGCTGCTGGCTAGACTGTTTTGTGCTGTTTACTAACTCTCTCCACTGCATGCCACCCCGCCATGTTGCGCCCCACCGTGAAAGAGGCATGGCTGGGGGGTTGGCCTTGGGCTGTGCTGGTCTGTCAAGCGGTTGATCCCATCCCCACGCGTTGCTCCTTTGCTCCACTTTCGTGCCGTGCCTCTACCAATCACCCCCCGCCACCCCAGATGGCATATTTGATGCGGCAGTGGCAGGCGTCGGTGAACAGCAAGTTTGAGGACCTCGAGCTCATGCAGAGCCTCACTGTGAGTCATGCAGAGCCTCACTGTGAGTCATGCAGAGCCTCACTGTGAGTCACTCACACCATCTGCTTCCCACATCTCCTTTCCTCTCAACATACGGAATTTGTTTCTTCAATTTGCTGGCTCCTCTTGTCTTGCGCCCTGGTTCCCGCTCGCTGGATCGCTCACTCTTCTCCTCCTCTGTTTCTCTTACCCCGGACCCCTCCACCCCCGCCCCTGTGTGTGCATGGCTGCATGGCCACAGGACGATCTACGCACGGATCTCTTTGTGCACTGGTGGACTCAACATGTGCCTGCCAGGTCGCCACCGCCCCTCCTTCCTCTGCCCCCGTGTGCCCTCCCTCCTCCTGCTTTGTTTCTCCTCCTTGCCACCACGCCCTGCCACCATGCCCTGCCACCATGCCCTGCCACCACGCCCTGCCACCATGCCCTGCCACCACGCCCTGCCACCTTCCCTGTCTCACCACCTCCCATCGTTCCACTTATCACCCTCTGCTCTCCGTTCTCTCCCACCCCTTTCCCCTTCGTTGCTCACATCCAACCGCCGTTCCCCCTTCCCCCCCTCTCCCCCTACTAGCGCAGCCCCTTCTTCCCGCACGAGCAGCAGTGCCTGGCGAGTCTGCAGCGAGTGCTGGTGCCGCGCGCAGTGGTGGCGGGGGACGTGGTGGTGCGCGAGGGCGAGGTGAGCCGCCACCTCTACGTGGTGCGCGCCGGCACACTCGAGATGTCGTGGGCCCTGCACGGGGCCGACACTCTCGTCGAGTCTGCCACTGCGCTTCCAGGCAAACCCATGGTAGGCTCGGGGGAGGGGGGTGTTGCCAGCCTCCGGTGATTTTGTAGTTTCCTGATTTCTTGCCTTGCGGTGCGGTCTAATCAACAACCGTTGTTGCTTCTCTTCTCCCTGTGATCTTCCTCTTGTTTCCCAATTCCCCCTCTCCCCCTGCCCCACCCCAGCTGGGCAGTGAGGGCATGAAGCTGGCGCGAGCAGTGAGCATGAGGCGCTGCCGGGCGCGCTCCATGCAGCGCCAGGCCAGCCGCTCCTCCCATGGCAGCCCCACGCTGCTGCCACACCAACCCACGCCTGCCGCCGCTGCTGTGCACATGCATGCCTCGCATGGGAAAAACAGCACCAACGGAACAGACGATGCATGCGACATGCATGGTGCTGATGCCTCGCCTGTTCATGCGCATGCATGCGACCCGCGCCACGGCGACCATGGCGAGAGCCCTCCCATGGTTGGGTGCTCACCGTGTGTGCGGCGCACTCGTGTGTACGATTCAACACTCGGCACCATTCCCAGCAGCAGCCTCATGCACAGCGACTCACACGGGTCAGGGTCAGGGGACGGGTCCCCATTGCCTAGCGACAGCATTGAGCCTCTGCGAGAGGGCGTGGAGGAGGGATGTGGGGAGGGGGCAGGGCACAGGGGTGCGAGGGGCACGGTGCCGCGCACGCACAGCACAGCGGCATCGTATGAGAGCCATGGGTCGGTGCGGCATGACAGCCACTTGCTGGGGCAGGCAGCGTTTGAGAGCAGGACGGTGGGGGTGGGCCATGTGATCGGGCTGGACGGGCTCTCAGAGGTGCTCGAGCTGCAGACCAGCGAACCCTCGTGGCTCGAGCAACGCGTCCCCTTCCTCTTCATGGAAGGAACCTTCCAGGTATGCTCCTGGGTTGAGTGTTTGATATGGCACTTGGTACTACATTGCTTTTACGCCTGCGCTACCCTTGCGCCTAATTTTTAAAGAGTCTTGCCTTTGGGTGTCGGGACGGGCTGGGCGTGTGAGCAGGCCAAGACGGAGTGTGAGCTGCTGCTGCTGCTAATCGACGATCTATTTGACACGCTTGAGAGCTTCCCGGAGCTGCTAACCGCGTTGCGCTTGAGCCTGGGCCTGCCACTGACAGAGCAGGAGCAGCTGGTGCGGTATCGCAAGGCGCTCAGCACACGCAGGATGAACACTTCCACACACCAAGCCAGGCCTAACCGCAAATACACATTCTAGATCCCGACAAAATGGCACATGGCAGGTGCATCCTAACAGCTTCGTGAGAAGTCATACAGTGCTTGACATATTTATGATATATTATCTATTATTTATGGAGAGGGCGAGGCGGCGGCTCATCAGTTGGTTTTGCTGGTTGCTCTCTCGCGCATCCTCGTCTACTCGCGCGGACTTCGCTTCTGTCACCATGCCATGCCACATCTGCCCTCACTGGAGCCTTGCGTTGCCTTGCCATACACCACGGTCCACACCCCTCTGCCGTCTTATCCACTTCTCACCTGTCTGTAGCGTGTTCGATGTTATTTATGTTACAGAATCCCGTAGCACTTCGGTGCACTGTTCCCGTAGTGTTTAGTCTCCGGGTACACTAACCGTGAGGCACCGTTAGGGTTGCAACGAGGATTCCACTGGGGCCATTATTTAAAGCCCAAGACCTGAATTACTCAACGCAAGTCAACGGAAAAAAATAGGTTCGGAAGGCAACCAGACAGAGGTTCGGTTGGGGTGCGAAGCACTTTCACTCGCGAAACCAATTTGCGACAAAAGTTTCTCGCGTACAAGAATACGAGTGCTAGGTGGGGTCCTTCCCACAACCTGAAAAGGGCGTAGATCCCAAACTGTGCACAGTCTGAGATAGCACGCAGATAACTAGGCAGGGAGCGTACCTGTAGAGATAGCGGGGAATCAGAGGCGCCTTACGAATGTGTGTGGCGCGGATTTCGATGACGACGCGCAAAGTAGTGTTCGTTGGTGTCGAAATGCAGGTTTAGTGCAACTGATGCGTATACTCGCACGGAATATCGTAGCGTGACCCTTCGCCAAAGCATGAACCTCTCCTTGCCGTCGTTTTCCTTTCCCAAGGCCCCACGATTTCAATCTCTTTCGCCATCGCTTCCCCAGCTCGTCGCCTTCAAGACCTCCTTCCGATGCCTTCGCGACCCCAGCCCGTCGCCTTCGCTCCGCCCGTTGCCCTCGCTTTCCACGCCTGTCGCCTTCACTTTCCCTCCCCCGTCGCCTTCTCTTTCCCCCGACCCCGTCGCGCTCAATTCCCCCTCCCGTCGCTTTTCCCGCCCGTCGCCTTCGCTTCTCCCGAACGGCGCCTTCCGTTCCCCCGCCCGTCGCTCTCGCTTCCCCCGCCCGTCGCACACCGCGCCAGTCGCACACGCTTCCCGCCCGTCGCACTCGCTTCCCGCCAGTCGCACTCACTTCCCGCCCGTCGCCTTCACTACCCCTCCCATTGCCGTTCACTCTCTCCAGCTCACGCTCTGCCCTCCACTCACTCTCTTCCCCACCCTTCACTCTCTTCTCTCATGTACACTCCCTTTCCCCCTGTTCTCACTCCTCTCTTTCCCCCCCGCTCACTCTCTCCCCCCCTGCTCACTCTTTCCCCCCCTGCTCACTCTCTCCCCCCCTGCTCACTCTTTCCCCCCCTGCTCACTCTTTCCCCCTCTGCTCACTCTCTCCCCCTGGACTCACCCGCCTTTCCTCCCTGTTTACTCTCGATTCCCCTTCGTTTAACCTTTTTTCCCCACACTACTCTTATTTCCCCTGTTCAGACCCCTCGGTTTCCCCTGCTTACTGGCTTTCCCCCCTGCTCACCCCCTTCTCCCCCCTGCTCACTCTCTTTCCCCTTTTGCTCACCCCTCTGCCCCGTCCACATCCAACCCTCGCTTATCTGCCATACCCCCTCTTCCCTTCCCGTTCTATCACGGAACCATGCTTGAACAGGTTACAGGTGCCCAGCACCATGAGTCCCAACAGGAATGTGATGAATGTGTTCCTGTAGTCTATTGATGACAACTTTTACATAAACAATATTATGCTTTGTTCCACTTCTTTGTAGTGGCCATGTGCATGGCTGCTCTGAAGCAGAGAAGGTTTTATTAATAAAAGCATAAGCGTCAATACATGGCATGGCAACCTATTTGTCATACCACTATCATCAAACAACGAACACCTCACATCTGGGTGCATGGCAGACCTGCACAAACACGAACCACAAAATTTTGTGTGTCATATGTTGGAGCAGCTGGGAAGGAGACCGTACAAAACAATAACAATCAAAGGGCAATCCCCTTGAATATACAAACAGGCTAGGAGTGTACAGGCTTGGAAGGGAAAGGGTGGATGGGAGGATGTGAGAAATTCGAGGGAGTAGGCAAGTGGGTCAGACAGAAAGGCGGAGGATAGGAATATCGGAAGATGGCAGCTTGAAAAAAAGGGCAGCAGGGTGGAGAGGCAGGAGGATGAAAGAAAGAGTGGGTGGGAGAGTGGTAGGGAGGAGGGAGGCTTGGAGGAAGGGCGGATGGGAGAAAGTGAGGGAGGTAAAAGTGTGGCAGGGTATAAGGGAGGAACGGGGAGAAGGGAGAATCAGAGAGAAGGAAAGAAGGGTACAAGGGTGTGGGGGGAGCGTGGGTGACGGTGGGAGGGAGTGTAGGGAGAGTGGGAGGCAGTGAGGGCGACGGAGTGAGGATGGGCGGATGAGAGGATGGGCGGATGAGAGGATGGGCGGATGAGAGGATGGGTGGAACGGAGGAGCAGGGTTGGCGTGAGGAAGGGAGTGGGCGAGAGGGAGATGGAAAGGGAAAGGGGGACTGGATCGAGGGAGGATGAGGAGAGGGAGAATGGCAGGAAGGGAGGGCGGGAGGAAGGGAGGGAGAACGGGCAACAGAAAGGGGAAAGAGGGTAGTGAGGCAGAGAGTGTGGGATAGATGGAGGAAGGGAGGAAGAGAGAGGGAGAGGAGGACGACTGTGGGGGCCCCACGGAACGGAGTAAGGGAGGAGGGCAGGAGGTAAGAGTGTGGCAGGAGGTAAGGGGGATAGGAGGATCCCTGCACCCTCTCTCCCTAACCCCTCCCCCGCTCCGCCTCCCCTAACCAGCCCCCTGCAGCACTGCACTCCTTGCTGCCCGCCTGCACGCGCTGCCCTGGCTGTGCGCCCAACACTCTGCTCCAAAGCCGCACCACCACCTGCCATGGGCGACAGTGAGGGGAAGCGTGGGCGACGGTGAGAGGAAGCGTGGGCGACGGTGGGGGAAAGCGTGGGCGACGGTGAGAGGAAGCGTGGGCGACGGTGAGATGAAGCGTGGGCGACGGTGGGGGAAAGCGTGGGCGACGGTGGGAGGAAGCGAGCGCGACGGTGGGGGAAAGCGTGGGTGATGTGCGGGGAAGCGTGAGGGAAGGTGGGGGAGGGCGCGAGCGACGGTGTGGGGAAGCGTGGGGGAAGGCAGGAGGGAGCGTGAGCAGCGGTAAGGGAAAGCGTGAGCGACGGTGGCGGAAAGCGAGGGCGACGGTGGGGGAAAGTGTGAAAGCGACAGTGGGTGGGAGCGTAAGCGACAGTGGGGGGAAGCGTGGGTGACGGGAGGAAGAGCGTGGTCAACGACGGAGTGAAGTGTGATCGACAGCGGGAAGAAGCGCGGGCGACGGTGGGGGGAAGCGTGGGGGACGGCGACGTCGACGAGGTTAAGCGTGTGTGGCAGGGTGTGACGCCGACAAGGAAGGACGGTGGGGGAACATAGCTGAGGCAAACATAGGGCGAATGCGCGGGAAATGGCAGCGATCGACCGTACGATTACCTAATATCGACCTCGGAGAGGAGATGCATGCGCCGCAAACTGACGTTTTCGCGGTCGCGCAGGGTTTCGACGACGACGCTGAGTGAAAAGTGGCGCCATCGCATAGAATCTGTTTGGTGTTTTTTTCCTACCAAACTATTGGGCTCGGGCTCTATTGGCTTTCTGTTCTACCTAGGAGTTTCACGTGGATACTATGTGGTCGAGCATGACCTGAATTACCACAATTTCCAAACTGCGCACAGCTTGCCTTCCCCTACTCCCTTCAGGAGGGAGCGGTTGGGACTCTCGCCAACCAATTTTGTGCTGCTCTACGACTCTCTGGTTCTTTGCGGGGCGTCATTTGGTATCCAGAGAGGCTCGGGAAGTCAACTGTGGGCTCGGAAGGCAAACTGTGCACAGTTTGCCTTCCTTTTTGTAATTCAGGTCTTGGGCTTTAAGCGGACCGGCTCAGTTGCCGGTCCCAGCGGTCAAGCGCTGCGATGATGACGTCAGCGCCGGCGTCGACGCTGATAGACACGGCATCTCACTCCCACTCCCCCTCTCTCGAGCACACCAATCGCGCCCCCACCCGCGGCAATCGCCCGTGGCGCACCTCGTCGCACCGCAACGCGGAACACGATGCGGCCACCGCCACCCACGCGGCACAGCGCCGCCAGTCGCGGCTCGACTTCCAAACGGAGCTCGGCTCGCCGGCGGAGCGGCGCGAAAGGAGCGAGTCGCTAAACCAGCGCATGATGGAGGGGCGCGGCGACGCCATGGGCCACTCGAGCGAGCCGCGCCTCGACACCTCCGGCAGCTGCTCGTCGCCGTTGTCCCTCGACGTGCTCCCCGTGTCGCCCCTCCCCGCGTCGGCCCTTCCCGTGTCGCCCTTCGACGTGCTCCATATGCCCGTGCCGGACGGCGGGGAGCGGCCCGACGGGGACGGCACGAGCAGGAGCGAGGTGGCGAGGGGAGGAGGAAGGGCGGAAGGGGAACCGCTGCCGGGCGGCAAGCCGCTGTTTGGGCAGCGGCGGGGGCGCGGGAGGCTGTGGCGGTCCGCCAGAGAGCTGCGCGAGGACGACCCGGGCGACGACGTCGCGCTCTCCTTCGCGGACGACGCGTCACCCGCGGGCGCGCCACTCAAGGCGCGGTCGCCCTTCCAATGGGTGATGAAAAGCGCCTCTGGCGTGTTCGCGTCACGCGGTGGGGACGACGGCAGCAGCAGCAGCGGCAGCAGGGACAGCGGCGGCAGCACGCGCAGGTTGGGGAGAAAGGAGGGGTCGGCGCGGGCGGCGCTGGAAGAGTATATGAACGTGCCCATGCAGCTCAAACCAGGGCGCTCCGGGGACAGTGAGCCGCCCAACGCGGAGCAGATGGGCGCGCGGCGATGGTGGCTGGGAGGGCCGTGCGTGGTGGCGTTCAAGGCGGCGCTGGCGGCGGCGCGGCGCGTGCGCATCCCCATCGTGCACCCGTACTCGCCGTTCTGGCGCGACGTGAACATCATCGTGGGCGCCTGCATCGCCTACAACCTCGTAAGTCGCTCGCTTTGCTGCCCCTCGCCACCCGTCAGTTTGCTTTGCCTCTATTCTCCCCGTCCACCCCCACGTGCGCCCAACAAGACTCTCTCCCATGTGGCTTGCGTGTGCCCAAACAGCCTTCTGTGTCCCCATGCCCATGCCCATGCCCATGCCCATGCCCATGCCCATGCCCATGCCCATGCCCATGCCCGTGCCCATGCCCATGTGACTGCCATGCGAGCACATGTGTGATGGCATGGCAGTGGGAGCTACTGTACATGGTGGCGTTCGACCTGAGGGCCACGGGCGCGTGGCTCATCGTCGACTCGTGCCTCTCCCTCGTCTACCTCGCTGACGTGCTCCTCGGCTTCAAAACTGGGTGGGTCCGTCTCGCGCTGCTGCGCTGAGCCCTTGGTGGGCCGCACCTGGGTGGGCCAGGGGGGGGGGGTCGCTCCTGGGTGGGCCATGGGGTGGGGGGGTCGCATCTGGTGGGGGATCTGTGTGGGATGGTCAGTGCGTAGAAGGGGGCGAGGGGCTGGAGAGCGAATGGGGGCGTGGAGAGGAGAGGATTTGTGGGCGAGAGGAGATTCATGTTGCACCTCCCCTTTCGGCCCTCTTCCTCCATCTTCTCCCATCCGCCACCCCCATGTTCTCTCCCTCCTCTCTCGCCCTCCTTTCGCCCTACCTTCGCCCATCCCCGTGCACCTCCCTTCGCCCCTCCGCTCGCGCCTCCGCCCACCCCTGCGCTGGCCCTCCTCACTCCGCCCATGGTCCGATTGGGGCGGGCAGGTACCTGACGCGGGAGAAGCACGTGATGGGGGAGGGCGGGGTGAAGATGCTGCTGCCACAGCAGATCGTCATGGACCAGGTGAGGCACGACCGTGATGAACCAGGTGAGGCACGACCGTGATGGACCAGGTGAGTGAGGCACGACCGTGATGGACCAGGTGAGGCACAAGCGTTCCAGCTCTGCCTGGTACGTTCACGGCAGGTGTGCATTCTGATCGACCTGATTATTGCAGTATTTTACCCTGTAAAAAAGCATTGAATACATTTTTTAACCACTACATTAGCCTACTACCTACATTCGCACTACATTTGCTCATCTCCCCTCGGCTGCTCTGCGACCTCCGTGCCTCACATCACCTCCAACTGCTGCTCGCCTATCCCCCCATCCTCCCCCCCTTCCCGGTGGCAGAGGCGCATAGTGTGGCACTACCTGCGCACGTGGTTTGTGGTGGACGTGCTGTCATCGCTGCCCATCGACCTCATCACCTCCTCCCTCGCCCAGTCCAGCGTTGGCTTCTGGCTCTCCGCCGTCAGTTCCCCCCCTCCCTCGACCCCCCACCCCCCCTTTCCACTTCCCCGCGCTTCTCACCTGCACTCTTCCCTCCTCACCTGTCCCTCTGAATGTCGCATTCAGTCGCCCTCCCTCCTCCTGCATGCCCGTTTCTCTGCCGTCCTTCCTCTCATCTCTCCTTCTGCAATTCCTCCCTTCCTTTTGTTCCACTTCCCTCCCACTTCTCCCGTTGCTCTGCCTTTTCGTTCTTTCAACCCCCCCCCCCCCCTCCTCCCTCCTCCCCCTCCCCACCCCTTTTGCCGCCAGCCAGGCGTTGAGGCTGCTGAAGCTGCTGCGCCTGAGGCGGTTGGGGCAGGCGACGCAGCAGCTGAGGCAGTCCGCTCTCGCAGGGCTCTATATGGAGATGACCATTCTCGTGCTGCAGGTGGGACGAGCATACCACTGTGCACCTCAGCAGCACTTTATCCATCAGCCGCGCCGTCCATCCATCAGCCGCGCCGTCCATCCATCAGCCGCGCCGTCCATCCATCAGCCGCGCCGTCCATCCACCAGCCGCGCCGTCCATCCATCAGCCGCGCCGTCCATCCATCAGCAGCACCATCCATTCTCCGAAACCCCTTGCCCCACTGCCGTGCTCCTCTCACCTCACCCCCGCTCCCTCCGCCCCTTCTCCCCCCCAAACCCATCCCCTTCCCCCCTACGGCCCACCCGCGTCCACCCGCCCTGCACACCGGGCAGATCTGCATGGTGTGCCACGTGGGCGCCTGTGCCTTTGCGCTCATCGGCCGGCTCGAGTCGCCCCCCGAGTCGTGGCTAGCAGCGTTCAACTGGAGCAACGGGGGCAGCCAGGAGACGCTAGAGAGTGCGCCGCACGGGGTGGTGTATGCCGCCGCCTACTACTGGGCCATGGTCACCTTCGCCTCTGTAAGCCCCCACCCGCCCTCCAAGCCCCTCTCCTCCTCTTCTTCTGCCTCTTCCCGCCTGCTGCTGCCCTCTTCTCTCGGCACCTCGTCTTTCCCCCCCTCAATTCCTCTCACACCCCCCACACCCACTCCACCTCATCTCCATCACCACTCGTTGCCTGCCTCTCGCCTGCCTCTAGCCTGCCTCTCGCCTGCCTCCCTTGGTAACCTCTTGTCATCATGCATGTGCGCGCTGTGCTCTCTGCATTTATACCTTCTCCTCCTCTCTTCCATCATCCCTCCCCCCGCCCCTCTCTGCCGTGCATCACTCGCCCCACCAGGTGGGGTACGGCGACATACACCCAGTGGACACGCTGGCAGAGCGCCTGTTCGCGACGGGGTACATCCTGGTGACGTCCATCCTGCTGGGCTACACCATCGGGCAGATCTCCTCGCTTATCTACTCCAGCCGCGCTCGCCGCGAGTCCGTGCGCCAGCGCTGCAACACGCTGCACAGGTGCCCCCCCCCCCACCCCACCGCCACTGCCACCGCCCTCCCCTCTCCTCTCCTCTGCACTTCCCCACTCTTTGCTGCGTGGGCCATCAGTTGAACCACTATTGCAGCCTTCTGCCACCTCACTGATCTCATCGCGTCACCTCACTGATCTCATCGCGTCACCTCACCTCGTGCGTGCATCGCCTGGCGTGGCTGCTGGCAGGTTCATCGAGAAGGAGGAGATCCCCGAGTGGCTCGCCAACCGAATGGTACTCTCTGCTCTCTGCTCTCTGCTCTCTGCCCTCTGCTCTGCCTGACACAACACATCGCCACCCTTTTTTTCCGCGTCTCCTGCTGTTCCTCCTTTCCTGCTCTTCCTATCTGCACATCCCCACACAATCATTGCACGCCTTGAGGCGTCCCCATGACCCTCCCCATGGGCCGGGCAGATGGTGAGTCTGACGGGCAAGTGGCAGTCGGAGCTGTCGCAGCGCTTCCACGAGGGCGACCTCGTCGACGCCCTTTCGGTGAGTCGTGTCGTGCGCTCTCCGTTAGTCCCACCCCGCCCACACTCTGCCCTGCTCGTCACACCTTCACCCTCTTCCCTCGCTTCCCACTCCGCGTCCGCACCGTAGCTGACGCCCTGCTCTCCCCCTCCCCCTCCCCATCCGCGTGTGCTGAGCTGATGGCAGGACGACCTGAGGGCGGACCTCTTTGTGCACTGGTGGCAGCGCCATGTGCTCCCCAGGTGAGTCCTGCCCGACCACGTGGCCCCCACATGCGACTGCTGCGCCTCACCAATGGGCACTCACTCCGCCACACCCGTTCCCACTGCCTTTCCTCCCTACAGAACTAGCATCCTCCTTCACCCCCCCTGTTCCCCCCCTTCTCCCCCTACCCCCCCCCCCTCTCCCTCTCCCACCTTCGCCCCCCCCCAGCAGCCCCATGTTACCGCACAGCCCCACGTTCCTGGCGCACGTGTTTCCGTGCCTCATTCTGCGGCGCGTGGCGCCAGCAGACGTGGTAGCGAGCGAGGGCGAGTTCACGCGGCACCTCTACATCGTGCGCTCCGGCACCCTCGATGTCACCCGCCTCAAGGACGGCCCTCCGCCCGCCCTCGCGCTCACTGATGCTGCTGCTGAGCTGGCGGGCTGTGAAGCTGACGTGATGGGCGTACGGTGGAGGGGAAGGGCGGCGTGGAGGAAGTGCAGCTGCCAGCAGTACGTCGGGCCGCCCACTCCGTTCCTTGGTCGTTTGCGCAAACTAAAGAAAATAAATTAACGACTGATTTTCTCCCTGTCACTCACTTCCCTGTGACTGCGCCTGCATGTGCATGTGTTCCCATCCACCTGGCACCTCCGCTCCAACCTGCTACTATCTCTCCCTGCCCTCCCCATGGGCTCCCCCTGCCTGTCGTGCGCCCACCGGCCAGGAGGTGGCGAGGGTGCTGCAGGAGCATGCGGGGGCGCTGGGGGGCGGAAGGAGCGGGTCGCTGGGAGGGTTGTTGGGCGCAGCAGGAGCAGGGGTAGGGGGGGTGGGGGTGGGGGTGGGGGTGGGGGTGGGGGTGGGGGTGCAGAGGCGTGCGATGCAGCGGTCGCTGGCAGTGGCGGAGGCGGTGCCGGCGGTGGCGGGGGCAGTGGGGTACGAGAAGGAGAGCGTGGGCGAGGGGTATGTGGCGGGCACCCAGGGGCTGAGGGCGGCGCTGGAGATGCGGCGGGGCGAGGAGGAGTGGAGCAGCCAGCGCGTGTCCGTCATTTGCATGGACGCCTCCTTCCAGGTGCGTCATCTGCATGGACGCCTCCTTCCAGGTGCGTCATCTGCATGGACGCCTCCTTCCAGGTGCGTCATCTGCATGGACGCCTCCTTCCAGGTGCGTCATCTGCATGGACGCCTCCTTCCAGGTGCGTCATCTGCATGGACGCCTCCTTCCAGGTGCGTCATCTGCATGGACGCCTCCTTCCAGGTGCGTCATCTGCATGGACGCCTCCTTCCAGGTGCGTCATCTGCATGGACGCCTCCTTCCAGGTGCCCCGTACCCCCCCAACCATACTGCTCCTGTCATGCCCGCACACGCTCCTCACCGTCCTTCCCTCGCTGCCCGTGCCCCACGGCACACACCGCTCAACTCCCCTCCCCCTTCCTCTCCCCCCCCCCCCCCCCCCCCCCCCCTCCCTCTCCCCCTCAAGCAGGCGAAGACGGAGTGCGAGGTGTACCTGCTGCTGCTGGACGACCTGTTTGACGCCCTCGAGAGCTTCCCCGAGCTGCTCACTGCCATGCGCACCGCGCTGGGGCTGCCCCTGGCGCCCGATGAGTACCTGGCGCGGCCGCGCTTCATGGCGTCGCACCGCAGCTTCAAGGGGCTGCACCACAGCAAGAGCAACTCGCGCCCCATGCCCTTCACGGCTGACAGCAGCAGCAACAAGACAGTGTCGTTTGGTAAGGGGCGCGTGCTGAGGGTGGGCACCAGCTCCATGCTCCAATCATTCAAAGGATGACGCTTCACACCCATGCCCCAGATTGATTTGCCTGAGTTGTAATGCGACAGACCAGGCAATGAATGCGTTGTACGGTATACGGTAATAGAATGTTTCAGCCTGTCAATTGACAGTCGGGCCCAGTTGTTACGATGTCCAATAAGGAACCCACAGCTTTTTTAGTAAGCCGCTGGCCTAGGCACGGTATCTACCGATAATTAGTTCTGAAGATAACATTGTATTGAACTTTGCTTTGATTAACACCAACCTGGCCAACTAATCAAGGCCAATCAGAGACCTTGGGTACATAATTACAGAAGATCAAGATGCTGGATGTGTATTCCACTGTATGCACAAGACGACCACAAGCCCACCTTTCCGCGCAAGTGACCAGCTAGGGAGCATCATGAGCAGCGGCAGCAGCAGTGAGGCTATGGCGGGCCACAACTCTCCTGACAGCAGCAGCAGCAGCCTCACTGGCAGCCAGCCCGCCCACTGCCATGAGCGCTGCAAACTCACGCCTGATCTCCGCATGCACTGCCTCCTTTGCCCGCGCCTCTGCACTGCCTGCTGATGCTGGTGCTGCCGTTGCTGTTCCTCCTGCTGCAGCTGATGCTGATGCTGCTGGTGCTGCTACTGTTGAGGATACCGCTGCTGCTGCTGCTGCTGCTGGTGTTGACATTTCTTCAGCTGCGTCTGATGCCCCTGACTGCCCTTTCTCTCCAATCTGTCTGGCATCCGGGCCACCATCACCCTGGGTCCAACGGCCGACTGCTGTTGCTCCTGCTGCACCTACTGCTGGCAACGCGCTGCTTGAATTCAAGGCGGCGTCTGGCGCAGTGGGTACGGGAACAGAACTGGGCGGAGGGTGTAGCAGCTGTGCAGGAATGCTGTAGCTGGGGGACGCGCTGATCGGAGAGGGCACGGGGAAGGGCGCATGAGGCGCGGAGCCGTACTTGAGAGTGGTCTCCAGCTGCTGGAGCAGCGGCGCTGCAGGGAGAGCAGCGCAAGCAGGAGGAGCAAGATGTGAATGGGGATGGGGGGATCCAGGCAGGCAGGGTGTGAGTACAACGGCGGACGTACACGAGCATAACATGAACACCACGGGACAGAAAGGACGAATCAGGAGAAGGTGTGGGCGAGAGCGAGGCAGCAGCGACGTACCGAGCAGGGCGCCCTGCGGGCTGGTGAGGACGTGGCGGGGGAGGTCGAGGATGCGCGCGGGGATGCCGCGGCCCAGCAGGAAGTGCGCGACCTCGTCACTGAAGTGGTTGCAGTTGTGCGACAGCAGGCTGTAGCGCTGCGGGCTGTAGTTGGCGCTGATGTCCGCCAGGAATTGCTCGAAGAGGTCGCGCGGGATCTCCGTGCACCCCAGTCGGATCGCCTCCATGGGCGGCCCGAAGTCGGTGCGGCCGGGCACGCCGCGTTGGATGCCGGCGCCGAACCAGTACTCGGTGCTGTACGCCACCACGCCCGTGTGGTACACCGCGTCGATCGCCGTCCCCAGGAGGGTCTGCGACAGCTGCCGCGCCAAGCCGTGCGAGAGATCGTAGACGTGCAGCACGACGGAATGACTGTTGGCCTGCGACACGGACAGTTCAGTGGCGAAAAGTTTGTCTTTTGCAAGATTCCAATTTTTTCGTCCAATAAGGGTCCCGTTACGCACAGTCCATATTTGTCCTGCTACTGTTCCTAAGAAGTGCACGCCGCCTTTAAATTTGGAAAATTGGTGACTCTACTAAAAATCAAATCAAGAGAGCCTACAGCCCGACAACTCACCTCCTCCATTTCTCGGTGTGTAGATGTCAGCCGATTGAATGTCAGCCAAGATCTGAAAAGCTCTAGAGGTCACCGCAATGTAACGGTTGATGACGAATGAACACAGGGGATTGCGTCAAGGTAACGAAAGCGTAAGCCAAAGAATAGAGAAGGATTTGGAGGAAGGCAGTGTGGTGTTAGCAGGGACGAACTGCAGCTAAAAAGGGAAGGAGGCGGGTAAGGCGAGCGCGCAAGGAGCGACAGGTGGCGAACCTCGAAAGTTCCACATTCATCGCGAAGTCCATTGAGACCTTGCTCGCCAATAAGGGAAAAATCGTTAAAATTCCGATTATGCAACACCATTAAATGGAGCCCTTGCAGATGTCCAAACAAAAAGACACTGGAAAACAAAATGTGAGAGGTTTAGATAGAACCATAATCAAAATCAAAATAAAAAAAAAACACGAGCCAACATGTTTAACCGAAATTTCATGCGCACATGCTTTCCATACTTGTTTTTTACTTTGTAAACACGGAAACTCGACTTGGGCTTGTTTTATTGAGCATCCAATGATATGGGAGGCTTAGAATAAGGCACGCCAATATGTGGGCTGTACTACTACCAGGTTCATGGGGGGATATATTTATATTATTGTATACTGGTAATTCTGTATATTTTTTACTGTAATCCTTTCAACAATTCCCACACTTGCGGGACACATTATCTCTTGTGTACGACGGGTGGTCTGCATTGTGTTGGATGGTTCGGTGTGACGTGTTCTTGTCGTCAAGCGTCACACAGGCAGGAGGGGACCAGACCAGACACACCAGCTGTGATTTTCCCCCTTTCAAACAGCCAAATTGTGGCTGCAGCGGTTCTGGGGAGTAGTGAAACGGAACATCCGCCAAAACGCGGCTATTTTGTGAATCGAATATGGAATTGTTCTGCTATCTGGTGAAACCAACGAGAACCTTGGTGATGTCTTGTCTGATGGTGATAGATTTGCCAGCTGTGTCATCGTGGGCACCTACATTCGAGGTGTTCGCTGTTGCTGTTCGCTGGCCCAGTTATTTCTTTCCCCCCACAGGCGCAGCAGATGCGAATCCGCCTGATTGCGCATTGCGCTCGCACAACCTACCAACTCTCGGGTGGTTTTCCCAAACACGTCATTCTTTCAGAGGGCAAGGCTCTGAATAACTAGCGAGGGACAGTAGCCTGTCAGGTCAGGTGCTGCGGTGGTGGCTGGCCCAGCCCCTCACCTCATCTCGCCTCGCTGCCCCTCCTCAGTGTCCAGCGCAAGGGCAGCAACCGCAAACAATTGTGGTCCTCCCCGTTCGTTCCGCTCCGCCCCGTCCGAAGGAAACTCAAGGGCGGATTGTGTTGCGCGACTGAGTGGTTGCGCCATGCCCCGCCACACGACCACTGCTGGCTTCGTAGGAGGGAAACGACGAACAGCACAACTTCCAATTCAATACAGTGCAGTAACCGCTTTCTCCGCTTCCTCCCCAATTTCCAAGTGGGTCTGCCGCAGCAGAGGTGAGTAGAGATGCAAGCAGCAGCAGCAATGGAAGCAGGACCGTAACAACAGGGGATGGTTGATTGACGTCACCTCCGTTTTTTACTGATCCCCTTTACCAAGCCTTGACATCACAGATTAGGGTTGCACATGTTTGGAGATAGGTTCGTAACAGCCATGTCCTCACGATTAAGCTTCGTTTGCCTTTGTTTTCTCGTCGGGGCGTTGTTCGCCGCGTCCCAGCCGTTGGAAGCAGTAAGATTGTAGAGCGAATTAAGCAGTTCGCATTATACGCTTATCTGACCATCAGGGGCGATGTATAAGACCATCAATAAGGTGTTTCACAACCATGGTGGCAAGAAGAAAACGAGAGGAGACGCGTCGGATAGCATCAATCGCAGCCACAGCTCCGAGAAATCTCAAAATGCCGTTCCCTACGCCGGAACGCCAATCCCACAACACGTGGCCGTGGCGGCGGCGCAGGACCTGCGGCCAGATTCCCCGCTGCGCTTGGGCTCACCGTCGATTGCGGCGATTGGTGAGGCCACGCTTAAGAAGATCGTGAAGCGTGCGTTCTACGGCGAGGGATCAGGCGCGCCGGCGGGGAGGCTGAAGGAGGTACCTACGGAGATGCTGGCGTTCGAAATCGGCAGCATCATGCGGCGCATGCTCGAAATCTACGACTCCATGGCGGAGAAAATGCTCTCGTCGCTGCGCTCCAACCTCCAGGTGACCCGTTGCTGCTCCCCTCTGCCATCCATCTGCCTCCTTTTCTCGCCATGTTCTCTTCCTACCCTTCCTTTCCTCTCTTCCTCCCTCCATCGCCCTCCAAGTGCCGCTGACCGTACCTCCAACGCTCCAGGCATCCCCAACCCACGCGTGCGCTGCTCCGTCCCTTCCTCCCCGTGCCTTTTGCCCCTGTGTGGTGCGTGCAGGCACCGGGAGTGGTCACGCTCATTTCGAATGACCTTCGCGTGCTCTGGGGCCTCGCAGGTAAGAACAAGTCGCAGGCCGTCGCAGTGAAAACCAGTCGCAGGCCGTCGCATTCGCTCGCAGGTAGCAGGGCGTTGCAGGCAGTAGGTCGTCGCAGACACTAGGGTATGGCAGTCGACGTCGAATGGCGGCGAGGATTGCGATATACGGTTCGAAGCCAGAGACGGGGAGGGGGGGGGAAGTGCCCGCGGCCAGCCTACCACTTGTCCATTCCGCGCTGCTCTTGCTAGCAGCGTATCTATCCTCCCCACCTTTCGCGCATTGGCCTTCATCAGGCAACCCCATCCCGCGTCTCGCCACGTTTCCCCTTCCCCGCCTGGCTCTCTGCCGCACTTCGACGATTTTTATGTCTTACTCCCATTCCTCTTACTGTTTTCCGCTTCCCCCTTTCCTCCCCCCCGTTTCCGTTCTGTCCCGTGTCTCTCCCCCTCGTTCCCCCTAGGGTACGAGAAGCACGAGGAGCTGCGCGTGGTGGCGGCGCGCGTGGCGGTGTTAGGGCGCAAGGGCGCGGACGTGCGGCTGAGGCGGCTGGAGCGCGTGTTGGCGCACCTGGACTCGCCGGACGCCAACTACAAGGACTTCGCCGTCTCCTCCGCCGAGGGCGAGGTGCTCCTCAGGTGCGCGCGCGCCCTCCGCCGTGCTGGCACGGGCGGACGGGGGAAGGGCGGTGCAGGGATGGGCGGAGGCTTGGTGGAGGGATGGGCGGAGGCTTGGGGATGGACGGAGGCTTGGCGGAGGGATGGACGAAGGCTTGGCGGAGGGATGGGCGAAGGCTTGGCGGAGGGATGGGCGGAGCGAGAATGGGCGGATGGGATGGGCTTTTTGCAGAGAGGATAGGTTGTGGTGACGGTCAATGCGTGCGGCCATCCATCCGTCCGTGCGTGCGTGCGTGTGCTCATAGGTGCACGCGTCTCTCTGTGCGTGCGTGTGCTCATAAATGCACGCGTCTCTCTCTGCGTGCGTGTGCTCATAAGTGCACGCGTCTCTCTGTGCGTGCCATGATGCGTGCGTGCGATGGTGTGTGCGTGCGGTGCGGCGGTGTGCGCGGTGGCAGGTTCATGCGCGAGCAGGCGGAGGCGACCAACACGCTCAAGGCGGAGATGGAAGCCATTCAGCTGCTGCACTCCCGGTAAGCCCGCAGCTGCCTCCCCGGTACGCGCTGCACTCCCGGTACGCGCTGCACTCCTTCCAGTTCCAGAAACGGTCTTTTCGCGCCCCCGACCTCCAAACTCCCGTTCAACGCGTAAAATCCACTCTATCTTCCGCGCCCTCGTCCCCTGCCCTGCCCTCGCCCCCCTCCCCCCTCCCCATCCCCTCCCTTTGGGTGGGCGCGGCGGCGCGCAGCATCCAGGAGTACGGGGAGTGGAATTCGCTGCAGGAGATGGTGACGCAGGGCAAGCTGGTGGAGAAGCTGCAGGGCCACTGCCTCTGGGCCTACAACCTCGACTACCTCGTGCAGGTAAGCCCTCCCCCTCCGGCACGTGCGCCCTCCCCCTCCGGCACGTGCGCCCTCCCCCTCCTGCACGTGAGCCCTCCACCACCTCGCGCGGGTCAATTCCCACCTCCATCGTGTCGCGCTCGTTCCTTATCACCCGCCTCTGAACGCGCCCACTTGCCCCCTTCCCCCTTTCCCATCCCCGCCCGCCCGCGCGCGCGCGCAGCTGCTGGTGGTGGCGGCGTGCTACGTGCGCAAGAAGATCTTCGCGTCGTTCGGGCACGGCATGTGCCCGGCGCGCATCCGCGCGGCGTCGCTGGGCGAGGCGGGTTTGGCGCTGCACTACGCGAACGTGGTGGTGCTGCTGGAGCGCATCATCCAGCAGCCCGACGCCGTGCTCGGCCCCACGCGCGACGAGCTGTACGACATGCTGCCGCGCAGCATCCAGTACCTGCTGCGCGTGCAGCTGCAGGACCCGCTCAACTTCACCGCGGACGGCCGCGTGGAGGCCAACCTCAAGCGCGGGCTGCTGCTGCTGCCCACCATGGCGCACAACACCATCCACTGGCACTCGCTGCACACGCCGGGCGCCGCTCTTGACTTCGGCGAAATGGTCTTCCAAGTGCAGGTCAGTGCCGCAGTGCGCACTGCTCACGCCTTTGTGCATGTTCCTGCTCGTGTGCACTTGTTTACGCGTGCATACACTCACTATTTCCTTCCGCGCATCTCAACCCCATTCTGCCCAAACCCCCCCCCCCCCCCCCCGATCCCTCTCCCCCCTGGCTTGCAGACGTTCTACTACGCGAATCGCGAGGCGGTGAACGCAACGCTGGTGGACGTGCTGCTGGGGCTGTGCCGCATCTGCGGCGTCGAGGCGCCCATTGGCAGCATCTCCCTGCACGCGCCCGCCACCGCCGACTACTCGCTCGCGCTCGCGCGCAGCCAGGAGGAGGACGAGCGCGGCTTCCGCCGGCAGTGGGGCATGGAGGCGCGCGAGGAGGACTGGTTCGGCGGGCAGGTCTTCAAGGTAGCGGACGAGCGCCGCGCTCCGCGCAGGGACGCCGCGCAGGTGGGCGCGCAGCAGGGCGGGCACGCTGGGGGGCTCGCAGAGGGCGGGGGATACGGGGGAGGCGGGTACGGTGGTGGGAACGAGGGGCAGTTGAGCGGGGACGGGTACGGCGAGCAGGGAGGGCAGTGGCAGGTGCAGGGCGGGGGGATGGACGGCAGGGGGGACGGCAGGGGGGACGGACGAGCAGCAGCGGCAGCAGGGAGCATGGGAGGGGGGGCGTTTGCGCGGGTGCGGGTGGGGCAGGAGGAGGGGCGGGTGGCGTCGATGGATCGGCGCAGCGGCAGCTGGGTGTCGGACGCGTCCACGGACGACAACACCACCTTCGGCGCGTCCTCGCCCTCCCTCTCCCTCTCCGAGGCCGGCAGTGCCTCCAGCGCCAAGCCCGCTCGCGGCCGCTCCTCACGGCTGTCGCGCGACCCCTCGCTGTCCACGGACGGCCCCTCCACGCCCTCCAGCCTCGCCTCTGATCGCGACTGCTATGCTGCTGAGGCCCCGGGCGCAGGGGATGGAGGGGCAGGGGGCAGGGGCGGGCAAGGTGCAGCAGCTCCACCGGCTGGGAGGAAAGCGAGCCGCATGTCGAGCCGCAAGGGCAGCGGTAGCAGTAACGGTTCCGACCGCCCCTCCACTCCGCCCATGTTCTCCTCCCCCTTGCGCTCCCCCTCCGCGGATCTCCCACCCACCACCCCCCCACACCACTCTCGCACACCCCAACGCTCGCCCAGACAAGGGACAGGAGGAGATGGGGACGGGGGAGGGGTAGGTGGAGGGGAGGGGGGGGCGGGTTGGGGTGGGCACAGCGAGGTGCGCAAAAGTCGGAGCAAGAAGGGAGCAAGAGGGAGCAGCAGCAGCAGTGGCGGGGCAGAGGGCGGTTTCTTCAGCAGCAGTGGCAGCTTCAAGGACCATGGGTCATCGCCAATGCGCCCCTCAAACCTCTCGGTGCCGGCGTCCGTGTCATCATCGCCCTCTCCCTCGTCCGTGCCGCGGCAGGTGAGCGCCGACGCGCTGTCGGTGGGGTCCAACGACAGTGACGGCCGCTGGTCCACATCGCTCTCGCGCCGTTCCTCACGCTGGGCGGGCGTGGTGGGCTTTGGCAAGTCCAAGTCGTCCCGCCTGCCCGAGGGGGCGCCGCCCATGCCGCCACCACCAGCGGTGGTTGGGGGGGTGCAGGAGAGCGTGGCGGGCAGCAGCGTGGAGGAGGGAGGGGCGCTGGCGGTGGAGAATCCGTACGACGACCCGGCGTTTGCGGGGCTGGACACGCCGACGCTGCGCAAGGCCATGCAGAGCGGCGGGCTGGTGGGGTGCTTCACGGGGGGCTCGAGCGTGGCGGACTCGGACTCGGAGGCGGAGAGCCTGTCGTCCGTCGGCAGCCACTCCTCCCGCCCCGCCTCCACCTCCTCGCGCTCGCGCCGCAGCAGCAGAGCACCCGAGGGGCCGGGCGAAGGAGGGCAGGGGCAGGCAGGGCGGGGGCGAGTGAGGCGGTCGACTAGCAGAAGCAAGGGAGGCAGTGCGGTGGGGGCGGGGGCAGGCGAGGGCAGAGGTGCGGGTGGGGGTGCAGCAGCCATGCAGCCGCGCACTCGACACTACTACTCGCAGCCACTGCCACCACGCGACCAGTGGAAGGAAGCAGCAAGAGATGAAGCACAGTGAGGGTGAGAGGCAGCAGACACTGTGCAGGCAGCTTGGCAAGTGGAACGATTCTGCTTGACCATCTTTGCCTCGGTATTTGGAGCAGCACCCATGGCAAGCTAACTAACACCTGTAACATATGCTAACCCTGCAGTTTGGTTTAGGGTTTTCTTCAGAGCTTAAGTTATTGTGCCATTAATTGGCTCACCTCAGCGTAGAATGAACGGACACCATGATGGACAGCAGCTGTCGCTGAAGGGGCTGCAGTGTGGGGCTCAGTGTCCTGCAGACGCCAGTTGCATTCAATGTGGCCGGCCAGCCTTAACAGTGATAAATGCTCCACGTGTATAATGTATTGAAAGCATGGGTGGTGTTGCGGCCGTTTTTGATTTGTGAAAGATACAGAACAGTACATGATATTTCTAATTCTAGACTAGCCCGTATTATTACACAAAGATGTAGCCCGTATTATTACACCAACGTGAGTATTTGCAGATGATGTTTGCGACTTCACAGACCTCCGGAATTTGCAACAAGGCCCGATCGACAATGTCGCGAATGTTCGCCCAGCCAGATCCAACGGTTGTCACAACTGACTCGCGAATATTCTTGGCTGCCGTGCCGATCTGTGACGAGCAAACCCCTGGGGGTTCCGTCGTCAGGGAGAACTCTCGCACTCACCCCACACACGCGCTCTACCCACTCAGAGCCTATCGTCCCTTTCACCCACTGATGACACGATCCCCTTTCTTTCGGGATAGCACGCCACATCATACTTCTTCCTCTTATTGGGATATAACATCGACCCACCTGCTTCTCCCCTCCACTGTGCCACCTAGCTCAGGTAGAATCCATGGCCAAATTCGCCATCACCTTGATATTAACACCAGCACCTGTCAGACTGGTTAACCCCTGCTTTCTAAGGATTCTTGCCAAACTTTCGGCATGGTGTCTCGCAACTAGGCAGTTTTACGGAATCAACATACCAACAGGACACGGCTTCCAGGCTTTTACAGATCGAATTATGTTCTCTAAGGTGGCCAGAGCAACGGCGTTGACGAGGAGGATATGGCCGAAAGTGTGAGAAAAGTGGATCTTTAATGTTGATGTTTATTAACACGATGCTGACGCTATTCAATTGATACACCCAGCTTTGCAAGTTCTATGTTTAAGTTTCGAATGATAATCAACTTGGTGCAAATTTTGTATTTTCAGGAATCCCCAGTCGCGTCGGCCTCTTCAACGGCTTCAGAGGATCCGTTCAAGGAGTACTATGACAACGATATGGAAATCCTGAATCGGAAATATCCGAAATTGGGAAACAATCCTTCTGATGTAAGTGACATCATATTTGCCTACCCTTGCAAACTATGCAAAGCACTTTATGAGATCGTTTACATGTCACCTGGTGTAAAGAGGTGTGCCTTTGTTCATGTCGTGCAGATGGCAAAGAGATGTGAATATCAGAGGGAATATTGTCGTGATTTGAAGGCATGCGTCAACGCTGCTGCCAAGTCGTACTCTTCGAAAAGGATGGCAGGTAAGCACCCACTGTTAAATTTTAGTGTATAAGTTTTCTCCATCGGCCAGTAATATTATTGTGTTGCGTATCTTGCAGAGGTCAGGCTTGAAGAAGAGAGGAAACTGAGGCAACGTGCAGAAGTCAACGTATCGGTGAGAAGTACCTTTCAAGGCCCCATGCTTTGAACTCCGTCCACGTTTCATGTGTCTCATGCTGCGTCTACCATAAACCCTAGAGGCGGATTGCATGTGTTTCATGCTGCCCCGCTCCCCCCTTTCATCACCAGGAGCTGGAGGCAGAAGTTGCACGGCTGAAGGAGGACAAGGAGCAGCTTCGCACCCAGCTGCTGCTGCTGCAGTCCCACGCGCACGCGGTGAGCCAGCAGTCATCGGTTGGTGCACAAAAGCCGCTGCTGCTGCATATGCCTAGCCTGCCGTGCACATGTGCTTGCACGTCTACATGGTATCCACGCGTACCTGAAAGACACGTGCGTGTGTGTGTGTGAGTATGTCACACCCTATGCCTCACCCCGTCCAGCGTCTTCACTTGCCTTTCTGTCTGCCTTGCAGGCAACACAAGCTGAACAGCAGCGCAGGGCATTGGTGGATCACTTCTTTACTCTATTCAACTCAATGGCGCACACTGAAGTGAGTGTTTCCCGTTTATCCCTTCCTTCGGTTTCGTTCCTCCCCCCCTCCGGCCCAATCTCCAACGAATTCCTCAGTTGATTCTATTCTATCCGTACCTTCTGTTTCACACCGTTACCTTCCTCAACCTTGTCCCTCTCCCCTCACCTCCCATGCTCTGCACCACGCCTACTTCCCTGTCTGCAGCAGCGCCAACAGCATCGATTATTTCTCTCCGTACCCTTCATTTCTCACCTCTATCCCCCTCAACCCTGCCCTTTTCACCTCACTCCCCATGCCCTGCAGTTAGCAGCAGAGCCAACAGCAGCAGAAGCAGAGCCAACTGCAGCAGCAGCGGAGCCAACAGCAGCAGCAGCAGAGCCAGCAGCAGCAGCAGCAGCAGCAGAGCCAACAGCAGCAGTAGCGGCAGGAGGAGCAGCAGAAGTAGAGGAGGCACCAGAAGCAGTAGTGGCAGGAGTAGTAGCAGGGGGTATGGCAGCAGAGGTTGGCGTTGCAGTGAGTGCTGCTGGCACAGGGGTTGCTCCAGAAGCAGCAGTGGCGTTGAGTGACGCAGCGGTCACTGCTGTAGCAGCCGTTGCAGCAGTGACAGCAGAGGGAGCTGCAATGGGTCCGGTGGTGGGAACAGGGAGAATGTGGGGAAAGGCACGAAGGCGGATAGGAACGAGCTCCGCCGCTTTCACTGTGGCCTTTCCATCATGGCGTCCGTCCTCCCGCATTGACTCCGATACGGTGTTGCAGCAGCAGCAGAGCCAACAGCAGCAGCAGCAGAGTCAACAGCAGCACTAGCAGCACTAGCAATGGCAGCAGCACTAGCAGCACTAGCAATGGCAGCAGCAGCAGCAGCAGTTGGGTCGTCCACTCTGCCTGCACAACCCCTCTCAACCGCTTCACACCTACACAGGTCAGGGTCGTGGTGACAAGGGCACACTCCCACTGCCTGGTCTAGCTCGATGGAGAAAGGGCGTAGTGTTTAGCTGAATGCATCTTCTTGCTACATATTGCTGGAAGCCTTTCGTTTTTAACCAGATCAGTTTCTAAGTGATAGTGAGATGAGTCAATGCAACAAGCTGTGCCTCCTCAGCCGTATAAAATAACATTGGTTGTAGGTAGGAGATTGGAAGGTGAATTTGCAGTGCATATGTTGCTAATCATTCATCCAGCCAACCATCTAGCTGAATGACAATCGTTGTCGAATTTCTAGGCACCACTGCATGACCTCCATACAGTACATCAACGATTCACAAACAACACGTGCTGAAGCATCCTGTTGGAAACAAGTAATTCCTAAAGCGCCTCTGTCGTGTCGAAACATCACACCAGAAGCGAAGCAAGTCATATCGAGGCACGAGCGAGTCAACCCTCGGAGGTTGAAAGAGGTTGCTGGAGGTTACGCGAAAGTCAAAGGTCAGCGACCTTTGACCTGACAAGTACAGCGCGACAGTTAAGGACACACAACTGACTCGTTACAGAGCAGTTGCCCGAGTCGTACTGTATCGAACCGCAACAGCAAATTAGTTACAATCGTATCCTTTCGTATTCCTTGTACTACTATATATTCTTGTATCTCTTTGCTATAATCAACTTACTTTGCTCTCACACACTAGTGCAAGGTGGTTCACAAGTCTTCATTAAACGCTTCCGCTATTACAATAGTCCTACCCCGAATTTACCCCTGCAAAAGATCCTAAGGGCTATTTCTCAGCCCAACATGGTATTTCTCAGCTCAACCCTATTTCCCCCGTCCCGTCGACCCTACGCCCTGGCCCGTCGCCCTAGCCCGTTCTTCCGCTGCGACTAAGTCCCCCCCCCCCCCCCCACCTGAACCCTAATTTGCCTCTTACCTCCTGCTGTTACTCGCCTGCTCGTTCGCGTTAGTTCTCGCTATGGCGACTCCGCGAGTTCTTCGTTTCGACGCTGACGGTAGACCTCTTGACTTTTCCGTCTGGCTTCTTCGCGCTCGCCGTCTGTTAGAGAGTCAAGTCCAGGGGGGCGAGACCCTCTGGTCGCACGCTACTGGTGACCTCCCCGAGCCCCCCGAGCCTGCCGCTTTAGGTCCTGCCCCTGACGATGCTGCTACGGCTCGCTTTGCCCGTCAGCGCGCTGACAGGACGGCTTGGACGTCGCGTGACGCTGCGGCCTGCATCGCACTCAGCAGCCTCCTCCCTGAGTCAGAGGAGGTCCACTTCACTCAGGTTCGCACCGCTGCTGCGTACCTCACTGCGATTAAGGCCCGCTACTCTACTCCCGCTACTGTCTCTCTTGGCCGTCTTTTCCTCCCGTTCCTGTTTCCTGATCTCGCCTCGTTTGAGCGCTCTGCTGACTTGATCGCTCACCTCCGCTCGCTCGACGCTAGTTACCGCGCTGCTTGCACTGAGGCACAGCTTGCACTGCTTCCTCCCCCCATGGCGATTACTATCTATTTCATCGCCACTAGCCTCCCTGACCGCCTTGCCTCCGTTCGTGACGCGCTCCTGCTGAAGCACCCTAGTGAGCTGACAGTCGAGGTCCTTGAGTCTGCGCTCAAGGACGTCGAGAGCAACCTTCGCTCGGTAGCTGCCGCCTCTGGTGCTGTGCCCCCCCCACTCTTCCACGGGTGCACAGTCCCGCAGTTACCCACCTTCACTGCCTCTCTCGCCACTGCCGCTACTGACGCGACTGCAGCTGCTGTTACGACTGCGTCGCGGTCCCGCGGCAGGGGGGGCAAGAAAGGTGGTTCTGGTGGAGGTGGAGGCGGAGGTAGCGGAGGTAGTGGGGGTGCTGTTGCGACTGGCGGTGGTGGGAGTGCAGCGTCTGGAGAGACCTCTCGTGCAGCGGCTGGTGACTCCACTGCGCCTGCTGGTGGTGGCGACACCCGAGCTCGTCAGTCGTCTCCTGTACTGCCGGCCCCGCTAGGTGGAGCAGCGGCGTGGTACCAGGCTCAGCGTCAGCAGCAGCTTCAGCAGCAGCAGCAGCCCCTCTCCTCCCAGCAGCCTCAGCAGCAGCAGCGTCAGCAGCTGGCTCCGGGGTCGGGGCTGCGTCAGACCCAGCGCGGTGCTGCTTACACTCCCTGCACCTACCAGGTTCTGACAGGCACTCGTCGTGGCCACCCTTGTGGCCGGTTTCACCCCCCTGGTCAGTGCTTTGCTCAGCTCACTGACACGGTTCGTTTGGTCTACGGGGTTGGTGCTCCTGCCCCTGACTGGCTGCCTCTTGTTCAGCGCTACGGCTCCGCTCTGTGGGGCATGTCTGCTGAGCAGTTAGTTGATCTGATTGGTACTCCCCATGCTATGTATGCTGTTGTTGACTCTAGTGTTTCTGACTCTGCTTACTCTGGTGTTGTTAGCTTAGGTGCTAGCCTTGCTCAGTTGCCTGTTGCTAGTGTAGGTTCTTGTGTAGACTCTAGTCCAGCGGCTACCTCAGAGGACGGTTCGCTGTCGTTCACGCTGGACTCTGGAGCCTCTCACTGCTTCTTTCGTGACAGCACGACACTTACGCCTCTTCCTGCGCCTGTTTCTGTGGCGCTGGCTGATCCCACTTCGGGACCAGTCACCGCGCGTCACACTACCACCTTGCCGTGTCCGGCTGCTCCTTCTGGGTCTCTCACTGGGTTTCACGTCCCCTCGTTCTCCCGGAACTTGGTGGGCGTGCGACCCCTCGTGAGTCAGCACGTGGGTGTGTGGTTTGAGCCTTCTGGAGAGACTGCGGTGTGTGTTGACGGGGACTCTTACCAGCCCCTCGCCACTTTTGCTGCTGAGCCGGGCTCCGGTCTCTACACTCTTCACACTGGCCCGCGCGCTCAGCAGCGACTGCAGCAGCAGCAGCAGCCGCAGCAGCAGCAGCAGCAGCAGCCGCAGCAGCAGCAGCGGCAGCAGCCGCAGCCGCAGCCACAGCGGCCGCCGTCGCAGCAGCCACTCCTCCCAGTTCCTGTCCCTCCCCCTAGTCTCCTCCCTGCGTCTCACCAGGTGGTTCCGTCCCCTCAGGTTGTCGCGTCCAGTCCAGTCGCTGCGTCTTGCTCCTGTCGGTCGCTTGCCCACCCCACCGTTCTGTGGCACCACCGGATGGGACACCCTTCTCTTCCACGTCTGCGTGCTATGTCTAGTCAGCGTCTGGTCTTAGGTCTCCCGCGTGTCTTGCCGTCGCTGCCGCCGTCCCTTGCACCACCGTGCGGTCCTTGCGTCGAGGGTAGGCTGCGTGCCACCCCTCACTCCTCCTCCCTTCGTCCGGCCACCGAGCCTTTTGAGACGCTGCACTTGGACGTCTGGGGCCCCTCTCCTCGCCCTGGCCCTGAGCGTGAGCGTTTCTTTTTGGTGGTCGTTGACGACTACTCCCGCTACACCACAGTGTTCCCCCTGGCGAGGAAGTCTGAGGTGACTTCTACGCTGATCAGGTGGTTGCTTACCACCCAGGACACTCGTGGTCGTCGTGTCAGCTGTCTCCACTCCGACCGCGGGGGTGAGTTTCGCTCCGGCATTCTCGCTGGATTCTGTCGCGAACAGGGCATTCGTCAGTCCTGGACGCTTCCGGAGTCCCCACAGCAGAATGGGGTTGCTGAGCGTCGCATAGGCCTGGTCATGGAGATTGCCCGCACCTCCTTGACTCACGCCCGTGCCCCCCATTTCCTGTGGCCATACGCAGTCAGGTACGCCGCGCACCAGCTGAACCTCTGGCCACGCGTCTCTCGGCCGGAGGCTTCACCGACCAGTCTTTGGACAGGGTCCCCTGGTGTCGCGTCGAGGTTTCGTGTCTGGGGGTGCTTGGCTCTTGTCCGCGACACCTCCGCGGACAAGCTCTCGCCTCGCGCCGTTCCTTGTGTCTTCCTTGGTTTCCCTGAGGACTCCTCTGACTTCACCTTTTACCACCCTCCCTCTCACCGGTTCTTTGACTCCCGTGACGTCCGTTTCGAGGAGTCCACCCCGTACTACGTCAGGTACCCCAGTCGAGGTCTCCCGGTTCCTCCTCCCCCCCTCTTCCTGACAGCCGCTCCCCCTCCTGCTCCCCCGGTACAGCCTCCCCCCCCTGGT